GTTAAACATCCAAAAAATAAAATTTGTGATACAACTTCAACTAACTTATCTAGTAACGGTGGTACGAGAATAAACTACAGTTACAATACCATCTTCCATAGAAGGAATGAGACTGAAAAACCGACATTTGTTCTGGTGAGAAGGTGAATGAGGAGATGGGTAGTGGTATTTTTCTCGTCTGTTTGGGGTTTAGGTAGGGTTGAGTCTATATTTTAATTTTTAAACACTAAACACTAAACAATTAATCTTTGTTTTAATATTACAAAAAAAAAATCCTTGTTCTAATTTTTTTTTACCCTTATCGGTTCGGTATCGGTTTTACCGAACCCTTATGTGTTCAAAACCGATACCGAACTGATAGTGATTCTTTAACCGATAATCGATTACCGTTACAAGCAGTTTGGTAAGGTTCGGTTTATTCTCTCCTAGGTTCGGTTCGGTTCGGTTCGGTTCGGTTTTCAATTTTCGGTTAAAAAATGTCAGCCCTAAGCATGTATGTGGATGGATAAATTTTGAAATTTTCCAACTACCTCCAGTCAGTGCAATTGCAGAAAGCAAGAATAGACAATTCTTATGCTTGCACACAACCTTTAACCGAGAATTTGAAGATCTTGGTGTTCAGTACTCCACTTTATGCTTCAAATGGTATAAACCCACTTTTACCAACAAAGCATCCTTACCTTCAATGACAACGCCTTTGGCTAATTCACGGTCTATCATTGACGGCTCTTCAGACGAGGGAGGAACATCAACATTGTGAAAAATGGCTTCGGAAATCCTCCAACCGCTACTCGTTCGAGTAGCGGTTTTATTCAAATCGTCCTCTTCAATAGCAACACCTCCAGAAAGGTCAAGTTTGAGGGGGACACAACATTGTCGTCGCCATCTTCACTTTCTTCCGAGACAAGCATATCATCTTCTTCAATAATGAAATTCGAATCGTCATTGCTATCATCCATCCCATTGACGAAATCGTCATTGCAAGGATTATCGTTGGTGTTCATCTCATTATTGTAAGCATCACAATATTGCTCGTCATTATCACCTTCATCATTCCCAGTTGAATCCCCATTGAACCCGCTATCCACACCCCAATCGACATGCTCGGGAGATTGACGTGAGGCACCGGGTTGATTTGATTCCATCCTTCTGGTGGTGTCAGGCACAGGGTTGTAATTGTTCACCGGATGAGATGTTAGTGGTTGACTGTGTAAGTTCATTATTGGTGGGTACACAACACCATATGGATAGAGAGGTGGACCCTGAGCAGCAACTAAATTCATAAACCCACCGTGTCCCCCGGTATAGCCATACGAAGGGTAGGTTGGTACACTAGCCTGATTATACGGACCTGGACTATCTTTCGGTTGTAGTGTAACATAGATAGTAGGTATTGTGAACATGGCAGACACATTTCACAGATCTGATTCACAAGAGATACGCCATTTCTCTACCTCTCCGTTATCACCGGCCACTAAAAAGTGAAATCGGTAGTCGCACATGTTTCTATCTCCACGAACAATGTTATGAACTCTATTCAAGAAACGGGTTTCTTGTGCAAGAAACGGATTTCTTACCAAGAAACTCGTTTCTTGCTCAAGAAACAGTGGTTCTGTTCAAGAAAATGGTTTTTGTTCAACAAATTGTTTATTCTTCAAGATTAATTTAGCTCCTAAACTCAAAA